CTAGTGTCAATTGTGCAGCTCAACCGAGTATTCCCGAGGTACTTACATATATTATTATAAAATTAAATTAGTGTAATTTATTTAACTGACATATATACACATTAACGATGTCATATTTATTATTGATTTTAGAGCATTTCACCTTGTCAACTCTTTTTAGAGACACCAACTTATCGCATGGTTGGCAAGGGAAAAGTCCATAACACTCTGGGAGAAGTACTTCATCATAAACCGCTCCCTTCTGGATATTTGAAAGTGTCGATTGATATTGCTTTAGAGGAGGGTGCGTTATTACCAATCCCAGATGAAGTTTCAGATGCAACATTGGTGGGAGAGGCAATATGAGCGTTTGTTGCATGGCCGTCAAGGCTTGTTCGCATAGATGATGAGGTATAATTAAAACCGTTATGAACCTTTTAGTACTCAAATTTTTTATGTTCGTTTTACTTACATTTTTTTTGCATGGTAATGTTAGACTCCTACAAAACCCAAACCAAAAGATAAAGGGATTACGCGGCCAGAGGAGTCAGTGACAACAAAAAAACAGGTACAACAAAGTTATATGATATTTATGCTTAGATAATGTTAATTTGTCGTCCTATACTTGACCACTCTAATTTTATGATATTTAGATTATTCCTGCTAAAGATATTGAAGCTGTAAGTAGGGGTAAGGAGCCTGTAATTAGCAACATTCCCACAGAAACAAAGAGTGTTGCTAAGAGGTCCGGGGCTAAAAAGAAAACTACTTCACAATATAGGTCGTGCCTTCAGACATTTATAAGCTTCACAACTATTTCGCAAGGTGGTACTTCTCTTATACCCCTGCATGAAGGGATTTATGGTTCTGAAGGCATGACAACAATTGGTAAGGAGGATTTGGAACAAGTTTTTGGACACTTGACATTAGGCATGGCTGTTATCAATACATACATCAGGTATACTCCAATCAACTTTGTTTAATTAATTGCAGAATTTATTTACTCATTTCAATGAATAATTAATGTTAATGATGTTTTTATTTAAGGTTTCTGTATGACAAGTTGATTCGCCCGTGTGGATTGGAGTTTAGATTCACTTTCATAAATCCCAACATTGTCCACGCAGGGTCAATAATCTCAAAACCAGATGAAGTAATAGCATTTGTGCTCAGTTTATTTATGGCCAGCAAAGATACAGAAAAATTATTCTTTTTACCATATAATACTGGCCCCAAGTAAGATTTTCATTCTAAATTACCTCTATTATAATTTTTCGTTTTTTAACGTTGTGCAGAAAATTTCCATCTAACCTTTGTTTAATATTCCAGTGGACACTGGTTATTGGTTGCAATTAATCCTGTGAGAGAAATTGTATATTATCTGGATTCATTGGGCAATGATTGGACAACATACTCAGATATGAAGAAGACGATTGACACGTAAGTGACATTGTTCCAAAATATTACTGTGTATATTTAATTATTTATGTGCGATAGTTCTAAATATTCGTTATTATTTTATTATAGCATTCTACAAAGTTTTCGAGCACAAAGAGATATTCAAGTACCAAGGAGTAGAGTCAACAATATTTCTTGGATCAAAGTGGAGGTATAGATTTTCACAATTTTGATTATATAGCGATGATACTTGATAAAACAAGTTAAGGTGTATATCTTGATGTATATCCGTATTTTCTTTCCATGTGTAGGGTCCTCGTCAGCGCAATGGTGTAGATTGCAGTTATTTTATGTTGGGGTTTATGAAAGAAACTATTCTTTTGGACCGATTAGATATTCCATCCACGATATGAATTGCTAACTTAGGAATTATTTTCATATTTCTCATAAAATGACTTAGTATTTTAATTAAATCATACTATGTTATATTATTATGTAGTACTTTGATGAATTCAAGTGTGCTTCATACTCAAAAGATCAATTAGATGAACTTATGGAGGATTGGTGCCAATTTGTTATGGAGTTGAGAGTTTTATTATAAGGTATAACTTTGAGTTTTGAGAATATAATATATGTCGTTATAGTTGTGTTACAATATTATTGTTTTTGTTGTTGTTATTTGGTAACTTGTATGAATTTTGATTTTTTGATTTTGTTTTCGGTTATATAGGTGCAGCTCGATGTAGAAGATAGAGTTATATATTCATCGTGGATTTTGTTTCATTGTTGTATATACTAATGTTGTTGTTGTGTATATTGTGCAAAAAGGAGTGAAGAGATGAATATTGATGTAGTTATAATATTGTTTCATTGTTGTATATACTAATGTTGTTGTTGTGTATATTGTGCAAAAAGGATTGAAGAGATGAATATGATGTTGTTATAATATTGTTTCATTGTGGTATATATTAATCTTGTTGTTGTGTATATTGTGCAAAAATGATTTAAGAGATGAATATTGATGTTGTTATAATATTATTTCATTGTGGTATATATTAATGTTGTTGTTGTTTAAAATGTTATAATGAAGCTATAATTTCTGGTGCAAAAACGGTGAGAATAAATTTGATAGGCAGCGTTTTGTTTTAAATGAAAGCGCTGTCTAAAGTGATTGAAAAAAAATATTTAAAAAAAAAAAGGAAAAGCGCTGCTAAGGGGGGGGGGGGGGGGTAATAGACAACGCTTTTCATGAAAGCGCTGTCTAAAGTGATTGAAAAAAGAAATTAAAAATTAAAAATAAGGAAAAGCGCTGCTAAAGGGGGGGGGGGGGGTAATAGACAACGCTTTTCATGAAAGCGCTGTCTAAAGTGATTGAAAAAAAAAAGAAAAAAAAAGAAGGAAAAGCGCTGCTAAAGGGGGGGTAATAGACAGCACTTTTCATGAAAGCGCTGTCTAAAGTGATTGAAAAAAAAATTTTAAAAAAAAATAAGGAAAAGCGCTGCTAAAGGGGGGGTAATAGACAGCGCTTTTACAAAGCGCTGTCTAAAGTGATTGAAAAAAAAAAATAAAAAATAATAAGGATAAGCGCTGCTAAAGGGGGGGAATAGACAACGCTTGATAAAAGCGCTGTCTAAAGTTCCACATTAAAAGCGCTGTCTATACCTTTAGCAGCGGAGGTTTTAGCAGCGCTTTTAAGCGCTGTTAAAGGCATAAAAAAGCGCTGTCTAAACTCTTGTTTGGCATAGTGTGTCTTTAGCATCTAAACTGTCGAACCTTTAATGATACATCCATGTTAAATATTTCTAAGCGCTACTTAACTTATCTCTCTTCCTATTCATTAATTTTGCGACTACAATATCTTTGTGTTATACTTCTGTATGAAAAATAAAACTGTATTTAAAAAGACATAGGCAAAAAATCGTATACATCTTAAGCATTAGTAAACAAATATGATTTGAAGAATTAAACTCCTCCAAAAAGTAAGAAGTTTTGGTACTTATCTCAATTATGGTGGAATTTATTGTATAATAGAATTTCATTCAATAGTTAAATAATCTTCTAAACTTCAATTGGGTGCATGGACATATGATGTAGAGTTGGCCAAGAAAATAAGCCACAACAAGTGATAATAGTGCAAAGTATTTTCACAATAATAACTCTTGTTTTTTTCTAGCTTTAATGTGAAAAGGTTTAACAGTGCAAAATGTAAATAACATGAGTAGTTAGAGATGGTAGGCTTGTCTCTCACAAGTAGATACATTTAGATTCTCATCCATAGTTTAAGTTCTTAGAAAAAATATGTAGTGTTAATCATGGCTGGTGCTACATCGTTGATCTTCTAGGAATTAGAGATTTCTAGAGAATATTCCTCTATCGAAGGTTTTGAATGTTCTATTATGAAACTCATAATTTCATTAGATGAAATAAAGTTTTTTTTTTATTGTTTTTGTTAACTATGAGTAATTTTCACCGTTCTTTTCAATTTCAAGGAGTGGTTTATGAGTTTTTGAATTAATGCCACTTTGTCTCAACTTTTTCTTGAGACATGAATTCCATAGATTTGAATTACAATTACATATTTTAAAGTACTCTATGAAGTTAGAGATGACTTTTATGGTGTTGTTTCTATTTTACTTAAGAATATATTTAAAAGGGGAAGAAGTCTAGACAGACTGAATATATTACAAAGTTGATGTACAATAATAAATAAAATTCAAGACCGGTGTAAATGACAAAATGTTGTGTCTTTTTTAAAGTTTTTATTATTATTTTAATGTTTAGTTGTTGGAAGGTTAAATATAAAAGATGAAAAATTTGTCTCACGTAAATGTGAACTCATGTCAGAGTAAACTTGTTTTTGTTATTAGTCTCGAATCATCTCTATCTATTTCAACATTTTAATTTATTTACTATTTAATAAATAATTAAATAAAATAAAACATTAATTTCAAATATTTTATTTAATACTATTAATTTATTTAATATTTATCATGTTTAATATTAAATATAATAAAATATTAGTTAAATTACAATATTAAATATAATAAAACATTAATTAATATGTAATAAATATTTATTATAAATAATTTTTTCAAAAATTATGTTGAAAATTTAAATGTCTCTATAACACTTACATTTTTGTTTCATATTTAATTAATATTTATTACATAATATGTTGAAAACTTGTATCGTTAAAAAATAACATTTAATAACTATTATTTATTAATTATATTTAAAAAACAATTATTTAAAAAACTATCTAAAAACCTTTTATTTAGAAGTAATATTATAAGCTAATTATTAAATAAAAAATTTAAATAGTATTTTAAATAACTTTTAAATATGTTTATTAAATATTAGTTTTTAAATAATAATAATAATAATATGATTAAATTAAAAGTGTGTGATAGATAATTGAATTAAAAATATAATTAAAATATTAGCGTTAAACTTAATAGATTAAATCACGGTTTAATTTAATTCTCTGCACTTGCAATTGGAAGGGAGTTAAAACTTAGAACTCACAAAGGCAAAATAGCTCTTGACCCATAATTTTACTACTTATTTTAAGATCCAGAGATTAAATATGAATCAATTGACTAGCAGACGGAAACTGAATACCGATGAAGCCTCCCGTTCCCTTATCGACGGCGGTGATAGCAATAGCAATAGCAACATCAACACTATCTCTCTTCTTCGTTCCCTCTTCCTCATGGCAGATCCTCACAAACCACAACTTCACTTCTCAGATCCAACACCATCCACACATCCTCCTTCTCCTCACTCTCCCATGTACTCAATTCCTCCATCTCCCTTTCATTTCATCAAATCTCATCCAATTTCTAATCCTTTGCTTTTTTCTTTTTTGCAGGGTCTGGTGAATCTCGTTCCCTAATGAACGATATCTCGCTCGCGATCTCCAACAAGCCTCAAGAATTTCCCGATCTTAAACTAATGTTTATGCATCTCAATAAAGAGAAGGCGATAATGGATTCAATTGGTGTTAATGTCGATGGAATGATAACTGTTGTTTATATTCATTATTCTCTGGCTTATAAGTATACAGGAAGACTGTCGGCCAAGAGTATTTTGTCTTCGTTTCATCATTATGTTTCCGTTGCGCCTGAGGAGGTTCCGTTCAAAGTGCTTGATAGTCCGAGGGACTTCGCCACATTTGTTGATTCGGCTGATGCAACTATGGTTCTTGTTGATTTTTGTGGATGGACGCCGAAATTGATAGCTAAGAGTAAGAAATTCAATGGAACACAAAATGCTACTATTGGTGAGTCTTGAATTTTGGTTATTAGTTGCTTTTATGTGGCTGTAACTAACCTCCTTGAAGTTGATGTTTACCACTTTACCTAGCATTTGCTCGCAATGGATTTTTTGAGCTTATTTTCATAACACTAATACGAGCCTGTTTGGTTTGACTCTTTTGAGTTTGTCTATGGGAACAAAACACTCGTGAGACTACCAGAGGACTTGTGGAAACAAATTATGACATTGTCCATAATCTATTTTCAGCTTATTTCCTTAAGTTTTCTATGATATCTTGTGAAAACTAGCTTATCTGAAAATAGCTATAATTGTAAAGTTTATTAAAATAGCTTTATGGATATGTTTTGTGAGTTATTTCTAGTTTTTTTGTAAGCTTTTCAAGATTGCGAATGATTAGCTTATAATAAACATGCTTATGCAGAACTTATTCCTTTCCTGTTGGATTGCAGTCCACCCAAAGTTTTATTTTTTAATGAAAATAATACATCTGCAAATATCTTACTGAATTTCAAGACTCATGACATGAGTTCATATATGATAAACACTTCTTAGAAATAGTTTCTCAAAGTTGTATTACTATTTCCTTTTTTCACTTCACTATTTAGATAAGCTTGTCGTCTTGTTCTTGAAGGCTTTTTTTATGTGTATGTATGTGTTACTTGGAATTTGTTATTGGCAACGACACTCATTAGAAGACAAGTCACTATCTGTGCTTGTGCATTTTCTTTGCAGGGCTTCATCTTGGAATGGGTTTTAGTGGAGAGAATGATAGAGTACCGTTCTCAAGGGGGAAGACTAACCAGAAGGTTGCTGGTATTATCTAAGATTGAGTTTAAATGATAAATACATAATTTCCTTCCTTTCTGTTTTCATTTTCTTTTTTCCTTTATAATCAGAGGAGGGCATGTGCAAGGTTGAACACAACATCAATAAAGGGTTTTGTGAAGTTCCTTGGCTTGGGGATTTTATCTCAATAAATGATGGCCGTTTGGGGAGTTTCAAGGATCAGAATAGTCATAATCTTCACCCCTGTTCATATGAAGAATTTGAGCGTTTCCATTCTTTCTATGAGAAGTTCATGAATGCTGTGAAAGAATTCTTTCTTCCTCCTGAACGACATAGATTTGGTCTGGTTTCAGATAGGGCGATGCTTTCATCCTTAGGTGTTGGTGATTCCGGTTCATGGTTTGCAGTTCACTACCTAGCTGGATGTTATAGTTGTTCACATATTCTTAAAGAAGAGGATGACTTGAACTATGTTTTGCAGAGGAATAATTATTTTGTCAAAGAGGTGAATAAAACTTTAACTATTGTTACATGTTTTCTGGTGTATGTCATGATGTTATTCTTCATTGCTCCCTTATGTCAAAATTCCAGAGAAGAAAGAGAGTATAGAGAAAGAGAAAAGAGAGAGAAATTGTATAACAGAATTTGTAATTCCTTAACTAATTCAGTTGCAACAGTTCCTTTATATAGAAAGGATAAGGGATAGAAATGGAGTTAGACACTAGTCTAATTCCCTTTTGCTAGACTATTACTAGATTACCCTTATATCTCTAATACTCCTCTCTCAAACTTAGGGTGGTTGATCAAGTTTGAGCTTGTCAACAACTCTAAATTTGGTTTTAAGAAACAAGAATTTATTAGTGGAGAGTGGTTTGGTTAACACATCAGCCCACTGATCTACTGCAGGAATGTGGGAAACAATCAGGTTCTTGCTAATCACTTTCTCCCTGACAAAGAAAATGTCAAGTTCCATGTGTTTGGTCCTTGAGTGCAGAACAAGGTTGTGAGCTAGAGACACTGCACTTAAATTGTCACACAATATCTTGGGAGTTTGATGGCTGATGTTTAGTTCCTGCAGGAGAGATTGAAGCCAGAGAATCTCTGCTGTAGCTAAGGCCAAGCTTCAGTATTCTACCTCAGCACTTGATCTGGCAACAAGTGTCTGCTTCTTTGCCCACCAAGTAACAAGATTAAGACCTAGGAAGATGCAGGCTCCAGAAGTGGACTTTCTATCGTCGGAATCTGAGGCCCAGTCTGCATCACAAAGGCCTGTGATAGTGAGAGGCAAAGTGAGATTAGCAGGCGAGAGAAGTAGACCATGTGAAACTGTTCCTTTGAGGTATCTAAGAATTCTCTTAACAACTTTCCAATGGTCCTCAATAGGGTTTGAGAGAATCTGACACACTTTGTTGACTGCGAAAGATATGTCAGTTCTTGTTACAGTAGCATACTGAAGGCTCCTACTACAAGCCTGAAGTAGGTGGAATCAATAACTTGAGCAGAACCAACTTTGGAGAGTTTTGTGCTTGAAGCCATAGGGGAAGCAATCCCTTTTGCAGTAGCCATGTTAGTTCTATGAAGCAAATCTCTGATATACTTGCCATGAGAAAGCATAGGAGATCCATTGGGAAGATGAGTCACCTCTATGCCCAAAAAATAGTCTAGTTTGCCCAAGTCTTTGAGAGAAAAGGCCAGATTGAGTTTAGTAACCAACTGCTTGCAGCCAATGGGTTTTTTGTGATCAGGAGCAGGCACCAAAAACCAAGTGTGATTTTTAATTAATGCCTCATACTCATATTTCATTGTAGTTTGCCACTCAGGAATAGATAAAGCTTGTTTATGTGAGGTTGGTTCCAAGTGAGTGAGAAGGAGCGTGGGGTGCAGCCTAGATTGGACAATACCATCCTTAGCTCTAGTAACCATGAGGTGAGTGTTAAAAGGATGAATAATAGGTGGAGCAGGGGAGGAATGTTCAGTGGATAGAGAGGAGGCTATGCTATTGCCAATGACCACTGAGGAGGACTCAATACCAACTTGAGGAGACACAACTGAAGAGTCAGCAGAAGCTATTTCATTTTGGACAAAAGTTTGAGAAGTAGAGGCAGACTGGGAGGGAGAGGCAGGCACAATGTCAGGATTAATGCTGCTGAAAGAGGACTGTCTGTTAGGAGTGAAATGAGCAGGGATCATGGACACAAATTTATTAGGTTCCTGAGAGCTATTTGGAGAACCAATGGAATTGTTAGGGGACTGAAATTGTGAGTGAGGACCAACAGATGTAAGAGGAATAGATTGTCCAGATGAAGGCCCAGAAAAAGGAGTAGTGGAGGATGCTGAAACATATTTAGATGATGAGTCAGGAAATAGGGAAGTGTATGGGAACCTGTGCTCATTGAATATTACATCCTTAGATACAAAAATTCTGCCAGTGGGATCAAAACACTTATAACCTTTGTGGGATGGAGAATAACCTAAGAATAAGCATTCCTTGGAATGCATAGCTAGTTTGTGAGAATTATAGGGTCTGAGATGAGGAAAACAAGAGCAGCCAAAGGCCTTTAAGAACTTGTAGTTAGGAAATTGAAAATATAGTAAGAAAAAGGGTGATTTGTTATGCAGGGAAGGAGATGAGAGCCGATTTATGAGGTAGGTAGTAGTGAGGAAAGCATGGTCCTAGAATTTTAAGAGTAGGTTAGCTTGAGCAAGAAGGGTGAGACCTGTCTCCACAACATGTCTGTGTTTGCGTTCCACAGAACCATTTTGATGATGAGTATGTGGACATGTGACTCTGTGTGTTATGCCATGCACGGTTAGAAAATATGTCATTAGTTTGAATTCACCTCCACCATCTGTTTGCACAGACTTGATTTTGAGAAGTTGTAGCTCAACAAGAGCTTTAAACTGAACAAATGTGGCAAGTGTGTCAGATTTTACTTTTAAGAGGATAAATCCAGATATAACGGCTATGAGCATCAACACAGGTGAGGAAATATGCATGGCCAGAGATGGAGGGAATGGGTGATGGCCCCCACAAGTCACAAAACACAAGTTCAAGGGATTTGGAGTAAACAGTTTTAGATGAGGTAGATGGTAACCCATGTACCTTACCCATGCAACAGGCATTACAGAAGTCAGAAAACTGTTTATTAAGAATTGAAATATTACAAAGTTTGAGAACTTGTTTTAGAACCTCATGATGAGGGTGACCCAACTTGTGGTGCCACATTTTGTACAGGCTAGAGACAGAATCTAAATTCCTATTATTACAACTGGAATTGAACACATAACTAGATTCTAAAGAAAGAGGTTGAGACTGAGAGCTAGATGACTTGCAAACAACACTGAGGACTTGAGAGGAAGCAGGAGGAGGAGTGCAGTCAAACTTGTATAGACCATCACTCCCAAGGGAACCACTCAAAAACACTTTAGAAATACCCTGACATTTCACAAAGCAGGCATTAGCATGGAACTCAAAGAATACAACATTATCTTTGGCAAACTGACTCACACTTAGCAGATTTTTAGTAATGGATGGAACAAGAAGATTATTCAATTTTAAAGAAGTGTTGGGGCATAAATTTGAAGGAAAGGTCATAGAACCAAGAGAGGTGATGGACAAACCTTGGCCATTGCCAATGTGAACCTAATCATTACCAGGCAGAGATACAATATCAGTGAGATTTGTGGCATCTGGAGTCACATGATGTGAAGCTCCTGAGTCAGGATACCATGCCTGGTTTTAGAATGAAGAACATTCAGTGCCAACAATCAGTGCCTGAGGCCTGGCACCAGAGTACTAAGATGCCATGATTGGAGCCATAGGTCTAGCTTGGTTCATATTTAAAGGACTTGGAGCCCTAAATCCAGGTTGAGTCCACACATTTGGTTGACCAAAGGCAAAATTTCCAAATGAGGCAGGTGCACCATAAGGGGGATAGACACCATAAGAGTCTTGAGAGTGTCTATAGTAGCAGTAGCAAGCATCATGACTAGTTTTGTAGCATATCTAACATTGCGCAGAGTTCCTGTAGCCATTGCGGCCACCACGTCCTCTGAACCTCCCACCTCTATTGCCTCTGCCTCGAGAGTAGTTACCATGACCATAGCTTTGGAAATTTCCACCACTGGAGCCAGTGATATCAGGGTTTTGAGGACTGAGATTGGAATTCTGCACATTACCTGGAGTAAGGTTCACAGAAACAGTCTCAACAACTTCTTTCTTGGATTTCTCCACTCTAGCTTCTTGAGTGAGGAGAAGCAATTCCAACTCATCAAGAGAGATGAACTCAGACTTAGAGTTAACAACAGCAACAACGGAGTCAAATTCCGATCGTAACGCCTCAAGAATCAATTCAATTTGGTCACGATGAAGGACCGGATCACCAATTGACATTAACGTATCTACGATAGTGCGAACCCGAGCAAGGAATTCAGAGATGGTTCTAGTACCTTTGGAGAGGGAGCAAAGCTCTGATCTGAGTTGACGAGACCGCGTCTTCATTTGCGTATGGCAAAACGCATGAATTTCTTCCCAAACTTGCCATGAATGGCGAAGAAGAACGAATCGAGAGAGGAGCGAATCAGAAATTGTGGATAGCAACCACGTACACAGCAACACATACTGTTCTTCCTACGCGACGTAGCTAGGGTTCTCACTACCGGCGTCACGATCGGCAACAGCGAGGTATCGTTCCGGTACCCGAGGTGATATGACAAATCGCGCACCATTTTTGTGCCGCGAAGAACTCCTTCGACTTGTTGTTTCCACTGTCGATAGTTGTTCTCATCGAGCTTGACTGAGATCTTCTGTTTGAAGGTAGAGTTTGCAGCAGCGGAGCTGTCACCGCTTGCGGTGGTAGATGGCGACGGAGGAGCCATGAGCGCCGAGGATCAGAGATAAGCTCTGGATACCATGTCAAAATTCCAGAGAAGAAAGAGAGAGTATAAAGAAAGAGAAGAGAGAGAGAGATTGTATAACATAATTTGTAATTCCTTTACTGATTCAGTTAAAACAGTTCCTTTATATAGAAAGGATAAGGGATAGAAATGGAATTAGACACTAGTCTAACTCCCTTTTGCTAGACTATTACTAGATTACCCTTATATCTCTAATACCTTATCCCATCTCCAAACCAATGTTCGACTGTACTTGTCATGAATCAACTATCTTGAAAGCTTAAGTTGTTAGGTGAAGATATATGAATGCTCTTACATTGCAATTCCAATGGTGTTGTAGACTAGTTTATTTAACTGATGTAGATATATACACCAACATGCAAATATTCATGCTTCTTTCAGTCAACTAATCATTTGTTGAGATTTATACTGTTTTATTTGTTTTCATTTAGTTGGAAGGTAATGGACACGACCAAGAAGCCACCATACCAGCAAATAAGCCATCAGTACTTCTATTTGTTGATAGATCATCTGACTCCTCAGAAACTAGGGGAAAAAGTTTGGAAGCTCTTAATGCTCTTAGAGTATTGGCACAACACTATCATGTGAATCAAATGGATAGGAATAATGATAATCACAAGAAAGTTCTAATCCGAAATTATCGTGGACAAAAAAAGATCACATCTGATCTTAGGTCAAATTTGTTGATGAAAGCTCAAAAGATTAAACTAAACAAGAAGATATCTTCCATTACAATTATTAATGAGGGTAAGCAAGTTAGTGTGGATAATGTAGCTTCTGATCTCCAAGTGAGTTCTTTGAATGAGTTATTGGGTTACATTGTCCAGCAAAAGAAGAACGGGAAACTAAGCTCTCTAGCCAAGGATTTAGGTTTCCAACTTTTATCTGATGATATTGACATCAGTTCAGCCAATACACAGCAACAATTGCATTCCGAAGTTCAATCAAATCAAATTTCAGCAGAAACTTCTCAAGATTATACAAGTACTGTAATGACAGATGGGTATCCATATAAATCTGCTATAGAGCTTAGGGAAAATCCTAAATTGGTCATGCTATCTTCTCAGCATGACGAAGTCAAGAAATCTTCTATTATCACTGGTGAAGAGATAAAAGCCGTGCAATCTGAAGAATCCATTGCAGATCACAAACTTCCTAGTGCCAAAATTGTTCAATCAGAAATAAATAACCCCAGGGATGGTTCTTCTGAAGGAAACAAGTATGCAGAAGAACAGGATAATTTTCTTGGTTTTAATGGTTCCTTTTTCTATTCTGATGGTAATTATCAATTACTTGAAAGGCTCACTGGCACTTATAGAATTCCATCTATGGTCATAGTTGACCCCTTTTGGCAGCAACATTATGTTTACCCTGAAGAGAAAAGTTTCGACTTAGCTTCACTGCATGGGTTTCTTTCCGAGTATCTTAATGGAACTTTGCTTCCATATCAGCTGTCTGAATATGTTCTTCAAGGCCAAAGGGAGGCCAGGCATCCTCCATTTGTTAATTCGGATTTTCACGAGGTGGATTCTATACCTCGAATCACCGCTCATACTTTCTCTGAACTTGTTATTGGTTTCAATCTTTCTAACAAAGAGAACACTTCAAATGCATGGAACAAAGATGTCTTGGTCTTGTTTAGCAATAGTTGGTGTGCATTCTGCCAGAGAATGGATTTGATTGTTCGTGAAGTATATCGGACCATCAAGGGCTATGTTGATACGTTAAAAAGGGGATCTCAGAACATCACTGATCACGGTAATCTGGACTGTTTGTGTGTCTGTCTGTCTCTACCACCCTATATTTTACCTGCTTAATGTTTAGCTTATTTATTTTAGCATGTTTTTTGCTAAAATGAGAGAATTTAGTCAGTTGTCTGTTGTTCAATGGCTTTTATTTTGGCAATGGACTTTTCATTTTTTTATTGTGCGCATAGTTCCTAACTTCCTGTCATCTGCAATTCTGCATTTCACCATCAAAATGATTTTAACTTGAATTTGAAATGCTGATTTTTACTTGGAATTTGTAAATGAGTTTGACCCTACACTGTTGATCTTTTCATTAATGACTATTGAATTAGGAGAGACTAAGAGACATTTAGGTTAAACTGTATGTTATGAAAGCAATACAGAGACTTTATTATATGTAGAGAGATTACAACTAATTACACTATATAATCGATGTGGGACTATTCTACATACACATATTCTTAATATTATATATTTATAAATATCAACACTCCCCCTCAAGCTGGAGCATATAAGTCAAATGCACCAAGCTTGCCACATATATAATTAGTTCAGGGGCTTCGTAGAGATTTTGTGAACACATCTGCCAATTGATCATTAGAGTTGACAAAGCTTGTGACGATGTCGTCAGATTCAATCTTCTCTCTGACAAAGTGACAATCTATCTCAATATGTTTGGTTCTCTCATAGAAGACTGGATTTGAAGCAATGTGCAATGCAACTTGATTATCACATACAAGTGTCATTGGTCTTGCTTCTTCAATTTTAAGTTCTTTGAGCAACTGTTTTAACCAAATGAGTTCACATGTTGCCATTGTCATGACCCTATACTCTGCCTCGGCGCTTGATCTTGCAACTACATTTTGTTTCTTACTTTTCCAGGATATAAGGTTTCCTCCAACAAGTACACAATACCCAGAGGTGGATCGTCTATCAATTGGTGACCTTGCTCAATCAGCATCAGAGTATCCAACTATCTGAGTATGTCCTTTATCTTCATACACTAAACCTTTTCCTGGAGCACATTTGATGTATCTTAGAATCCGGATAACAACATCCATGTGTTCCTGACAAGGGGAATTTAAGAACTGGCTTACCACACTGACTGCAAAAGAAATGTCTGGACGAGTGACTGTGAGATAATTCAACTTTCCAACCAATCTCCTATACCTTCCCGAGTCTGATAGAGGCTCCCCCTGATTAGATAGTAGTTTGACACTTGGATCCATAGGAGTATCAACTGGTTTAGCGTTCAACAAACCTGTTTCTTCCAAAATATCCATAGCATATTTCTGCTGAGAAATCACCAAACCATCTTTAGATTGGGCTACCTCAATACCCAAGAAATACCGGAGTTTACCAAGATCCTTTGTTTGAAATTGACTTGAAAGATGTTGTTTCAACTGGAGTATTCCCGACTCATCACTACCAGTTATGACAATATCATCTACATACACAATAAGATAAATGCACCCTTGGACTGAGTGACGATAAAAGACAGAATGGTCAGCTTCACTACGGACCATACCAAATTGTTGTACTACAATGCTGAATTTGCCAAACCAAGCTCTCGGAGATCGCTTAAGGCCATAAAGAGACCTGTGTAGCCTACAAACCATATTCGATGACTCCCCCTGAGCAACAAACCCAGGTGGTTGCTCCACATATACTTCCTCTTCAAGATCACCGTGTAAAAATGCATTTTTGATGTCAAGTTGATGAAGAGGCCAATGTCGAATGGCTGCAATGGCTAGAAGAAGTCTAACAGATGCCATCTTGGCTACAGGCGAGAAGGTATCACTATAATCCAACCCAAAAATCTGAGTGTATCCCTTGGCTATCAAACGAGCTTTAAAACGATCAATCTTACCATCTAGACCAACCGTAGGGGTTTCTCGTGGGGCAGGTTCCCTAGAATGATGGGGAATAATGGAAAATTGGACGTCCGGAAGAGGTGTGGGGAGTACTTTCCTGAAGGGGTTCCGGAGTGACTTGGGTGGATGCAAAATATGGCACAGACTCGAAGAAGGTAACATCAGCCGATATCAGATATCGTTGCAGAGTGTGTGAGTAGCAACGATAACCCTTTTGGGATCGATGATAACCAAGAAAGACACACTTTAGTGATCGAGTTGATAGTTTATCAAGACCAAGGGAGAGATTATGCACAAAACATGTAGACCTGAAGACTCGAGGAGGAATTGGGTGAAGAGGAGAGTTTGGAAACAAGATTGAATGAGGGATTTTATTATTAAGGACATATGAGGGCATGCGATTTATGAGATAACACGCCGTGAGCACATCATCCCCCTAAAATCTGAGAGGGACATTACCATGGAGAAGTAGAGTCCGAGTGGTTTCTACGAGATGCCGGTTTTTGCGTTCGGCTACCCCGTGTTTTGTTGAGGTGTATGAGGGCGAAATGTTTGGTGTAGAATACCATTGGATGACATAAAAGTTTGAAATTGTTGGGATAAATATTCACGTGCATTGTCACTTCTTAAGGTACGAATGGACAAACCAAATTGGGTTCTTATTTCTCGATAAAATTGTTCAAAAATAGAAAACAATTCAGATCTGTTTTTCATTAAAAATAGCCACGTGCAACGTGAAAAATCATCAATAAATGTTACAAAATACCTAGACTCAAAAGTAGACACAGTACGCGATGGACCCCAAACATCAAAGTGAACTAAAGCAAAAGGGGACGCAACCCGTTTATTGACTCGGTCGGGGAAGTGACTTCGAGTATGTTTCCCTAATTGACAAGACTCACACTGTAAAGTGGATAATTTAGATAAACTGGGCACCAACTTTTGTAGCTTGAAAAGACTTGGATGACCTAACTGCGCATGTATAATGAGTGGAGAATCTGTGGTGGAGCATGTGGTAGATGACGTAGAGAAGTAGTAGAGGCCTTGAGACTTACATCTGACGCCAATCGTCTCTTCTGAACTTCGATCCTGCAGAATAACATCACTGTTAGTAAAAGTGATAGAACAATTAAGGGAACGAGTTAAACGACTGACTGACAGTAGATTAAATGGGTAATTAGGTACATATAGGACAGAAGTAACAAAGAGAGATGGTAGAATTTGAACACTACCGATCTCTTGGGATCGGGTTTGAGAATCATTTGCGGCAATTATACTCGGTAAGAAACCAAAGGTAGAAAGGGAAGAGAAACGATTTTTATTACCGGTAACATGATCAGACGCACCAGAGTCGAGGACCCAAGGACCAAGAGGAGATGATTGAGAGACACAAACAGATGAATTACCAGTGTGTGCAATCGAAGCCGTGGAACCAGAGGTCTGGTTAGTTTGACACCACCTGAGAAAATCCTCGTAGCTTGGCGTAGGGTTCTGAAGAGAAGGTGAAGTCTGCATAGTGTTTGGGTTATCAATTTGAGTTGCATTTACCTGCCGTGGAGGTTTGCCATGCAACTTCCAGCAACGGTCGATAGTATTTCCAAGCCGGTTACAATGGTCACACTTAGGACGAGGTTTGGAGTTGGATGACCCTCCTCGAAGGCGATTCTGATTGTTGCCAAGAGATGCAAGAGTAGCAGTGTCACCTGGTGTTGGAATAGCAATAGATGGAGGAGAAATCGTGCCAAACGCATGAGGTGTAGCCAAGCGCAACAATTGTTCACTAACTGTATCATAGTTAGGAACAGTAGTACCTGATAAAATCTGGTTACAAACAGATTCGAGTTCTGATGGTAGTCCTTTAAGTGCCATGGTCATGAAATATTTACTCTGTTGTTTGGCATGAGCTATTGCATCTTTTGCGTAAGGCATGAGGGTTGCGTAACTTGCTTTCAAGGCATCAAGCTTACTCAGATAAGCTTGCACATCCATACTTTCCAACTTCAGTGTGTTGAGTTTGTGGATGACACTGTATAGAGAATGAACGTCGTTGGAAAAGACTTTCTTGGCCTTTTGCCACACCTCATAACAAGTGGAGAATGCTTGGTACTGCGCTTGGAGGTTAGGTGCTATGGAACACCACAACACAGTACACAAAGAGGCATCGGTTTTCTTCCATTTAGCGAGTTTGACGACTGCAACATCACTCAATTGGGTGGTCAGATGCTCTTCATATCCTTGACCGTGAAACCACATCTCGACAGCACGAGCCCATATGTTATAGTTGGCTGATCCGATTAGTTTTTCACATGGGATAAGCGGAACTTCAGCAAACGAGATAGAATCAGCATCTCCCATGGCTTAAAACACAACAACTGGGGCTGTTTGAACAAGAGTACGACTTTCTGTGAGTCGAAAACGAAAACCGAGGGCGGATCTGGAACGGGAGGAGGAAAGCAATTTTCCGGGAAATTTTTTTTTCGTGAACAGTAGTGCCGCCGATGAACAGTGGTGTCGGCGGTGAATAGTGACAGCAGCGGTGAACAGTAGTCCTCCGAAAAAAATTATTTTTTTTCCATGGACTGTGCTTGGCGAAGGTCGCTGAAAAAAAATTAAAAAAAAAAGGTGAGACAAACCGGAATGATGACACGGTTTGCAGAAGAAAATTTCTCACCGGAAGACAGTGGGTCAATCGGGTAAAGCACGGCGAAGAATGACCTCTTAGAAGGCTCTAAATACCATATTAAATTAGGAGAGACTAAGAGACATCTAGGTTAAACCGTGTGTTATGAAAGCACTACGGAGACTTTATTATATATAGAGAGATTACAACTAATTACACTATATAATCGATGTGAGACTATTCTACATACAAATATTCTTAACATTATATATTTACAAATATCAACAATGACAATAATTGTTGTACTATTTGGTGGGCTTGCTTGATGTTGGATGTTCTTATTTGTTTTTTTATTTTTATTTTTATTTTTGGAGAATTTTCTGATAAAATGGTAGATAGAGTCTCACATCTTGACAACTGATTGCTTCATGGCAGAAAATTTTAATTATGTTACAATGAAGATTCCGACAATCTACCTATTGGATTGTACATTGAATGACTGCCATCTGATACTGAAGTCAATCGATCAGGTACTTGTGGATTTATGTTTTCCTGGCTTCAATTCCCTGTCTCGTATTTATATTAATTATGGATTATTGACACACTTTTATCGAACAATATTGAGATTACTAGTGGGTTTTATTTGTTTGGCACTGTATTTCTGAGCTGTATCATTATTGTTGTGTGGGAGCAAATGAAGATGACGGATTGTTAATTGTCATCTTTGTGAAAAGCTTTTTCTATACCAATGATAACAACAAAAGCTTTTCCCTAGTAGGTAGGGTTGACTACATTTTTTTTTGATATCCGGTAGGGTTGACTACATGGATCAAACGGTTTTTTAACGTTTTATCATAAAATAATGTCTAGTGAGTAGTGATAAATCATCAAATGACTCTTGGTTTTAGCCATATTTTTTAAAATATTGGGCTAAAATGACTTCTGTGGGTTTAAGCCAAAAAACTTTAAATTTGGTCAGGCTTGAATTTTGAGCCTGGAATGTGTAGTAGTAATTACTGCTTGTACAGCCGTTACCCATTTATGTGATTCTATTTTTAATAAGAAAGAAGTTTGGAATTTAAGATGAGGATAATTAAGTTGCATTGCAAAAGAATAGAGGGACTTTTAACATTTTTAAAATTCAATATTCTTTCTTGTGATCAACAGATATCATGAGCAAATATGTCTCATTTATGATTTATTTGAAATATGTATAATTGAATGCAAGTAGTTAATTGTCTAGCCTGTAAATTTGAAAATTTATGCAGTTTGAAGTGTTGGACACTAAAGGCATTTGTTTATGATCTCTAGTAACAATTAATAATGTTAGGTGCATGTTAAATATGCAGAAGGAGGTTTATCCTGCACTGGTTTTATTTCCAGCAGAAAAAAAGGAACCTCTTCTTTATGGAGGAGATGTGGCTGTAATTGATGTTATGAAGTTTATAGCAGAGCACGGAAGTAACTTTCATGATCTTATCAGAGATAAAGGTAAAACATTCAACGTGACACCATATTTCTATATATTGGAATACTAGAAAGCATCTAAATCAGTTTTTTATTTATTTATGTCAAACTTGGATCACACACACTTGTCATTACCCCTTCACCCTTGTTTCCCAACCCTTTTTATTGTGGGTGTCAATGGGACTTGACTAGTGGAGTCATAGACTAATAGTTAGTGTATCTTAATTTGACTTATGCTTTTATTAGAACATTACTTTCTAATTTCCTGTTTTCTGTCGTCAAACCTAAACATTAATTGTTAGTTTAAATTCTTGTCATGATTCCCCTAGCAGTTCTGTGGCTGTCTGAAAGAGTAGTCAAGAATCAAAACTTACATGGCACTTTGCAAACTGATCCTCACGAGGAATCACTACGCATGCAGACAAAATATCACGGAGTCCCAGCTCAAGATAGAATACCGAATCAGGCGGTAGAACCCAACATGATAAATTTACCAGTATCAAATGGATGGGGTGAAACATTGCCTAATGTGGTGGTCGGTTCTGTGCTAATTGCGACAGAAAAGCTTTTGGGGGTTCAGCCATTTGATGGGTCCAAGATTCTCATTGTGGCAGCTGATCAAATAACCGGATTTCAAGGTCTTATTATTAACAAGCATCTAAACTGGAGTTTTCTGTCTAAATTGAAAGAAGAATTCAAAACGTTGAAAGAGGCTCCTTTGTCCTTTGGGGGTCCAGTTGTGAAAGCCGGAATGCCCCTATTATCCTTAACTAGAATAGTTTCTGGAAATAATTTACCCGAAATCCTACCCGGAACTTACTTCCTTGATCACATAGTGACAATTAGTAAAATCGAGGAGCTGAAATTAGCAAATCAACCAATCTACGGTTACTGGTTTTTCTTCGGGTACTCAAATTGGGAATGGAATCAGTTGTATCACGAGATAGCAGAAGGAGCTTGGAACTTGAGTGAGGATGGAGTGAGACATTTACAATGGCCTTGACTTCCATTAATTTATCATCTTTACTGTACTATTTACATTATTTATCTCGTTATTTATAGATATAATTTAAAAGCAAACATTCTAGAAAGTAGCATCGATCATACCTTGGTAAGTCAGCCAAAATTTTCTTTTGAAATGGTCCGTGTGTTGTTACTTGATAGACTTTTACTGGCTTTACACTAAGATGTCTGAAGAGCAAAGTCACACATTTTCTCCAAACCCACCAAATAACTATATTAACGTTACTGACTTTATTAAGTGTAGTAAAAGTGTTAATGATACTAATACATTAAAGAGAGAATAGAATAAATCATATTTCACCAACTGTAATGTAGTTTAGTGGAAAATACTACACTTTCACAATGTTGTCGAACTAAAATTTTAGGTAATTTTGTTAAATTGTAATTCATATGTGTCAAAAGAAGATTTGATTTGTTTAGATTTAAATAGATTTGAATTTAAATCTAGAATAGATTTGATTTAGTAAAAATATATTTTGGGCTTGAGTTTTAGCTTAGGGAGCAAGCTAACCTAAATCTATAAATAGAGGGAGTAACCCCTATTTTTGTAATCAAGTCATTCACAGTATTTTGCAGTTGCAAAGTGAATAATAAAATTTTCACAGTTTGTGGGCAGAGAGAAACTCTGCAGAAATATCTCTATTGTCTTTTCTTTGTTTGTCTCATAACTAATCATCAGTGGTGGTCGAAATTCATCATAGAGTATTGGTGGATTTCCAACATCTGGTATCAAGAGCTTGTGTTACGATTCAAGGGAAGTATCAATCAAGAACGACTGAAGAATTCACGATGACAAGTTATGGGAATGTAAACTATCCAGCAACGCTGCCAATTCTGAAAGTTGACAACTATGAGAATTGGTGCAAGCAGATGAAAGTCCTATTAAGGTGTCAAGGTCTTTGGGACCTTGTAAAAGATGGAGTCGAAGCGCTTGGCGAAAACGCTTCAGAAGAAGAAAAGAAGAAATATACAGAATCTGAGAAGCAGAGTTATAAAGCATTATTTATAATTCATCAATGTGTCAGCCCAGACAATTTCGAAAAGATTAGTGATTCAGAATCTGCAAAAGAAGCTTGGGAGATCCTTGAGAAGTCTTTTGGAGGCGCTGAGAAGGTGAAAGAAGTGAGGTTACAAACTCACAAAAGGACCTATGAACTGCTTCAGATGGAAGACAGTGAAAACATATCTGATTTCTTCACTAGAGTTACAAAACTAGTAAATCAAATCAAGGCATGTGGAGAAACATTAACAACAAGAGCTGTTGTTTCGAAGATCTTGAGATCTTTAGCTCCTAAGTTCGACCACATAGTGGTGGCGATCGAAGAGGGGAAAGACTTGTCGAAATTGACAAAGGAAGAGCTTCAAGGGACGCTTGAATCTCATGAACAAAGAATGAACGAAAGAGCTGCAGGAAAATCGAAGAGTGATGTGGCCTTACATGCACATTCAGCAAAAGAGACCAAAGGCAAAGGAAAGTATTTCGACAGAAGTAGAGGTGGCTACAACAAATCGAATGGTAGAGGAAACCAAATCGAAGGAGATGTGTCGAATCAAAGAAGAGCACACCAAGGCAACCAAAGAGGTGGTGCTGCAAACAGAGGAAGAGGTGGTGGTCGAAAACCTGATAAGAGTCACATTCAATGTTACAATTGTCAGAAGTATGGTCACTATTCAAGTGATTGTCCAGAAAAACGAAAGAATCAAGAAAGTGATGCAAAGCTTGCAAAACATGAAGAAGAAGAAGAGATGATGCTAATGGTCACAACAAGAGATGAAGATAGATTCAAGGACCAATGGTACTTGGATTCAGGATGTTCATTACATATGGCTGGAAGGAAAGATTGGTTCGTCAATATAAAATCCTCAACGAAAAATTTGGTAAAATTTGCAAATGACAACACCCTAGCAGCTGAAGGTATTGGTGATGTTATGATCATGAGGAAAGATGGCAAGAAGTCAGTAATTTCAAATGTATTGTACATACCAGGCATGAAGAGCAATTTGCTCAGTATAGGGCAGTTGGTCGAAAAGAATTATAAAGTGTCAATCGAAGATAAGTTGATGAGAGTTGTTGATGCAAATGGGAGAGTAATCTTGAAGGCTCCTATGTCTCAGAATCGAACCTTCAAGATTGAACTAAATGTGATGGAGCACAAGTGCCTTTCGACTGCAGCTAGCAGAGATGAATGGATATGGCATTATAGACTAGGTCATCTCAACTTCAGAGACATCAGAGATTTGAAGAGAAGAAATATGGTTTCAGGATTGCCTGAAATTGACATTTCAAACGAAGTATGTGAAGAATGTGTGCAGGCGAAGCAACACAAGAATAGCTTCAGCAAGGATGCAGGAAGCAGATCGAAGGCTAGTCTCGAAGTCATATACTCTGATGTATGTGGACCAATCCAGGTGGATTCGATGGGAGGTAACAAATACTTTGTTACATTCATAGATGATTTCAGTCGAAAGCTATGGACTTACCTGATCAAGAAGAAAAGTGAAGTGATCAAAGTATTTACCAAGTTTAAGTCCATGGTCGAAAGACAAAGTGGTCGAAAGCTCAAAGTTTTGAGAACTGATGGTGGAGGAGAATATGTGTCGAAAGACTTCGACAGGTTATGTGAAAAGGAAGGGATTATGCATGAGGTGGTGCCACCCTATACTCCACAGCAAAATGGAATTGCAGAAAGGAAAAATCGAACCATCATGAATATGGTGAGAAGTATGTTGAAAGGCAAGAATTTACCCAAAGAGTTCTGGGGTGAAGCTGTTTCGACTGCAACATACATTTTGAACAGAAGTCCTACAAAGAAGCTAGAAGGAATTACTCCAGAAGAATGTTGGTCTGGTGTGAAGCCTAGCTTAAGCCATCTGAAGATATTTGGATCTATTGCACATAGACATGTGCCAGATCAGTTGAGAAGAAAACTTGATGACAAGTCAAGTCAAATGATCCTAGTTGGATATCATTCGACAGGAGGTTACAAGTTGTTCGATCCAGAGAACAAGAAGATTGTGATCAGCAGGGACATGATCATATATGAGTTTAAAGAATGGGATTGGACTGCAAATGTCAAGAAAGATTCAGTGGGAATCTTATTCGAAGAGCCAAAAACTCAAGTCGAAAGAGAAGTTCGACAAGAGGAACCAGCAGATATACCAAGTACAAGCAGGCCTCAAAGAACAAGACGCATGCCTGCAAGATTGCAAGATTGTGTGATTACATCAGATGATGTGATAGATGATGAAGGTGAGCTGGTACATTATGCTTTCTATGCAGATGTCGAACCTGTTAATGCAGCTGAAGCATTAAAGGATTCGAAGTGGGTGAAAGCAATGAACGAAGAAGTAAAGTCTATCGAAGACAACAACACTTGGTCACTTGTCGAATTGCCTCAAGGCAAGAAGGCAATTGATGTCAAGTGGGTATACAAAGTGAAGACGAATTCGAAAGGTGAAGTAACTCGACACAAAGCAAGACTTGTGGCGAAAGGATTTCTACAGAAAGAAGCAATAGACTTCGACGAAGTCCTTGCACCTGTTGCTAGGATCGAAACAATACGACTGGTTGTTGGTTTAGCAGAAATCAACAGTTGGCACATATGTCAGATGGACGTGAAGTGTGCATTCCTAAATGGACCCTTAGATGAAGAAGTCTATGTTAAACAACCAGTTGGGTTTGTGAAACATGATGAAGAAAGAAAGGTGTACAGGCTACATAAAGCCCTGTATGGATTGAAACAAGCTCCAAGGGCTTGGAATAAGAAAATTGATAGTTTTCTAAGGGAGAAGGAATTTGTGAAGTGCATAACTGAACATGGAGTATATGTAAGAAGAAGAAAGAGTAAATTGCTTATACTATGTCTCTATGTAGATGATTTGTTGATAACAGGTAGCTGCAAGAGTGAGATCGAAGACTTCAAAGTTGATCTTAGCAAGGAATTCGAAATGTCTGATTTGGGTGAGATTTCATATTTCCTTGGTATCGAATTCTACAAGAGCAGTAGAGGTTTGATGATGCATCAAAGAAGATATGCAGGAGAAATTCTCAAGAGGTTTGAGATGGAAGAATGCAACTCAACTTCGACACCTGCAGAACAAGACTGCAACTGTCGAAAGATGCAGATGAAGATGATGTTGATCCAACCCAATACAGAAGACTTATTGGATCATTGAGATACCTTTGTCATACAAGGCCTGACTTAGCATACAGTGTAGGTATGGTAAGTAGATTCATGCAGAAGCCAAAGGTATCACATCTAGCAGCTGTGAAGAGGATACTAAGGTATCTCAAAGGAACTTTCAATTATGGCATTTTGTTTCCTGCAGTTGATAAAGGAAAAGAATGCAAGTTAGTGGGATACACTGATTCGAGTTGGTGTAGTGATGCTGAAGATCGAAAGTCAACAGCAGGATATGTGTTTATGCTAGGTGGTGCAACAATTGCTTGGAATTCGAGAAAAGAACCAGTAGTGGCATTATCATCATGCGAAGCAGAATACATAGCTGCTTCTCTTTGTGCATGTCAAGTAACCTGGATGGTGAACTTGGTCGAAGAGATAACAGGGAAAAATCATGGAGCAATTACCATGAAGATAGACAGCATGTCAGCTATCAATCTGGCGAAAAACCCAATAGCACATGGTCGAAGTAAGCACATCGAAATGAGGTTCCATTATCTTGGAGAGCAGGTAGCAGATGGGAAGATGAATTTGGAACACTACAGAACTGAGAATCAGATTGCATACATCATGACGAAGGGAGTGCAGGTCGAAGTATTCAGAAAGCTAAGAGCCATGATGAACATAGACAGTTTAGACACAATGAATTAGGTGGTGTGTTAAATTGTAATTCATATGTGTCAAAAGAAGATTTGATTTGTTTAGATTTAAATAGATTTGAATTTAAATCTAGAATAGATTTGATTAGATTTGATTTAGTAAAAAGATATTTTGGGCTTGGGTTTTAGCTTAGGGAGCA